AATGGGATGTGACTGTTAAAAGCAAAATGTCCATATATAGACAAAAGAGAACGACCCTAAGTAGCTAGAAATCACTGATGGGTTGAAAATATTTCATCCTGAGTTCATGCTTCCCATGGCTACCAAGGAACTCCTCCATTTCCTTGGGGCTGTGAGAGTATAGCATGAAATCTTCCAACAATGACTAGTGGCTAGGTCATCTTCAACCATGGAGGTGGAGCAGTCTGTCCCTATACACTGCTCTGGCACTCTGGTGCTGTAATCTACACCAAGAGTTCCTAATCTGAGACCTCCTTTTATTTCATCTTCTTCCAGGAAGTAAGTCAATATCATGCATTAAAAATTATTTTTCCTACCTCATACCATAAACAAAATAAAGCATGTAAAAAAGTTGGAAAAATATTCGTACCTTATATTATAGACAAAGGTTAATATCCCTAATACATTAAGGGCTTCTAAAACTTGAAAAATAAAGACTAACAACCCTACTGGAAAAAAAAAATCTTATAAACAGATCATTTTCAGGAAAAAAATACAGATGTCCCTTAAACATATGAACAAATTTTTAACCTTACTCATAATAAAAGAAGTACTAAGTCAAACCAGAGGGAGACACAAATCTTTACCTACTATAAGTAAATAACCAAAACTGTGATAGAATTCTGCATTGACAAAGTGGTGAAGAATACATACTGTCATATGTATCTGGTGTGAATGGAAAATAGTGCAAACTTTATGGAGAGGAATTTGGCATCTAAGAAAATTACAAATGCATTTACCTTTTAACCGGTTTCTAAAACCTATGCCAAAGAAACACTAGCAAAAAGTGACAGGGCATTTATTTTAATATTATTAGTTGCAACACCATTCATAATTGCAAAGGACAAGAAAAAACTAAATGTCCACAAATAGACAATGGGTTGAATCATCTGTGGAGTACTCTGCAGTTATAAAAGAGAAAGAGATCTTTACATATTGCAATGGAGGACTCACCAAAACATTGTTAAAGAAGAGTAAGGTGAAGAACCATGTGTATAGTAGCATATAGTAGAGTATGTGTATATTTGTGTATTTACTTAGATTAAAAATAGAAGGATAAATGAAAAACTAACCAAAATGGTTGGAAAATTAAGGTAGAGGGGACAGGGATAGAAACTAGATGTCTCTTCTTTGTTCCCATGGTTTTCATTTTGGAATTCTCTAGCTATTTAATCTAATTTTATAACAAAATTATAAAACAGTTTTTAACTAAAATAAAACAAATGAACAGTATTGCATATTCACAATATACAATCTACAGAGGAATTATTTCAAGGCTCTTAAAACAGTAATTTTTAACTGTTCATCACTAGTGAGATACTCAAAAGTTAAAAAGAACCACAGTGAAATCTTAAGCAGTTTTCAATAATCATATTTTTAATAATGTATACTAAAATTTTGAAAATATTTATTTTAAGGAAATAAATTATATTAATGTAATAATAAGAAAAAGTAGGCAGAAGAAAAAAATAAAAATTTAAGGTGGTTAATTAAAATTTCTGTAATCCTAAATTTGGGCTGAAAATATTAATATAAGTTTGTGATATTGTTTCTCCCTTAAAACAAATAGGGGCGCCTGGGTGGCGCAGTCGGTAAAGCGTCCGACTTCAGCCAGGTCACGATCTCGCGGTCCGTGAGTTCGAGCCCCGCGTCGGGCTCTGGGCTGATGGCTCAGAGCCTGGAGCCTGTTTCCGATTCTGTGTCTCCCTCTCTCTCTGCCCCTCCCCCGTTCATGCTCTGTCTCTCTCTGTCCCAAAAATAAATAAACGTTGAAAAAAAAAATTAAAAAAAAATAATAAAAAATAAAACAAATAAAAATATTTAGAAACAATGACCAATCCAGTAGCAATGAAACCCCCTAGTGCCCAAAATTTTGGTCTATAAATAAATTTCCCTCTTTTCTTTTTTAAATTGTTTTAAATATTTACTTATTTTTGAGAGAGAGAGAGAGAGAGAGACAGAGCATAGGCAGGGAAGGGGCAGAGAGAAACAGAGACACAGAATTCAAAGCAGGCTCCAGGCTCTGAGCTGTCAGAATAAAGCCCAATGCCGGGCTCAAACTCATGAACTGTGAGACTGTGACCTGAGCCGAAGCCAGACAGGTGCCCCAGTAAATTTCTCTCTTATAAAGAACCGAGGCTTCTTGGGGAAATGGCTGGTTCCAGGTCAGGGTACAAGAAACACACAAAATAAGGTTGGAACATCTAGTCCTACTCAAAGACAGGAAACCTATGTAAGACCATTGGGGTCATGACAAAAGGATATAGGAGAAACTTGAAGAAGCAACCAGTTGTCAAGTAGGAGTATTCTGAACATCAAAGAGAATGACAGCAATAGATTAAAACACATCAACCATATTAAAATCCATGTGTTGATATAATACTTTAAAAAAGAAAAATCTCTGTGGTCATATGTGGAGGATGCTAAGGAAACAAGTTATTATTTTGAAAATTAGTAAATAAAGGAAAAGAACAAATCATTTATCCTGCTTCCTTGTTCAAATGATATCATGGGGTACTACATAGTTGATCTGGAAAGCTGCTTATTTATAAGAGAGTACCAGCTAATAAATACAAAAGGTAGGATACAATTAGCATACCACCAGTTTGTAACCCCTAATTAATATTGGACTAATTAAGCAGTAACCATCAATGGATACTAAAGGCATTAGCCAAAATGGGGAATGCTAAAAGGTAATGCTTCTCAAATCTTAATGTGCATATGAATCACTTTAGGATACTGTTGAATTCTAGAATCCAATTCAGTAGATCTGAGGTTGAGCCTGAGGTTCTGCATTTGTAATAAGCAAACACATGGTGCCAATACCACTGGTCAGATGGCTATTCTCAAAAAAGACAAAACAGCCCCTGACCTTCAGGAGCTGGCCTACTATTATTATCGGGGCTTTGGTGTTCTCCTGCGGAACGTAAAGAATTTCACAGAACAACATCAGACAAGGTCACTCTGTGACCACAATGAATCAAGACAAAAACAGAAATATTGCAGAACAGAGCCACCTGGGTGGCTCAGTTGGTTGAGCATCCAACTCTTGATTTTGGGTCAGACCATGATCCCAGGGTCGTTAGATCAAGCCTGTGGTGGGCTCCATGCTGAGCTTAAGATTCTCTCTTTTTCTCTCTCTCTCTCTCCCTCTGCTCCTCTCCCCCACTCATATATGTGCATTCTCTCTCTAAAACAAAACCCCAAAACAAAAGTAAATGAATAAATAAAACAAAACAATCCAACGACAACAAAACAATAATTTATAATCATGTCTCAACAGAAATAATGAACACTGTCCAAACTAAAAAACTGACCAAACATCTTCCTATCTTAGCTATTCTAAGTGACCACTACTTCTTTACCAATTTTAACTTTAGGCTCAATCCAATCTTCCCTGATTTTAGATAAGACTTATTAAAATGTGCTCTTGCTTCTTGACAGCATCTTATCCAGAGCAAAGCTCCAATTCCTTAAGCCCTCCCTCAAATCACCAAACGTATTATGCCTGAGCCTATAACAAGTCTTTTCTAATACCCACTGAGAGGTCCTATGTTTCCTCTGGTGTGAATTTTCTCTCATTATAACATGTAATAAACACATCTTTTTAGCTACAGGTGTGCTCTGGTGGGTTTTGTTGGAATAGCTGTACAACAGTGTGATGAGTCAAGTTGACAGCTGAGTCACTATCACTACGTGATATTTTGCTATAGAAACTCGCAACACCACCTACAAAGTAATCTTGCCAAAAAAGATGAACGTGAATCTCATTAAGCCTCTAGATTTAACCATCAGATTTACAAGAAACATGTGCTATAGAGGTATATTTTAAGGAGCCATATTCAATCCAACCACAAGACAAATTGCCTATTTTCCCCCCAACAAATAACTGATGAAAATAAAAGATGGAAGAAGAACATACAAATTAAAAGAGACTTGATACTCAACGCTAATCACTTGTAACATGTAGCCCTTATTTGGCCCTAATTTGTATAAACTATTACACAAACTAATAATGATAATTACAAAAAAGCAATTGGGGATATTTGAAGAGAGACTAGCTCTTTGATAAAATTAAAAAATAATTATAGGGGCACCTGTGTGCCTCAGTCGGTTGAGTGTCTGACTTTGGCTCAGGTCATGATCTCACGGTCTGTGAGTTCGAGCCCTGCTTCGGGCTCTGTGCTGACAGCTCAGAGCCTGGAGCCTGCTTCAGATTCTGTGTCTCCCTCTCTCTCTGCCCCTCCCCCACTCATGCTTTGTCTCTCTCTCTCTCTCTCTCTGTCAAAAATAAATAAACATTAAAATAATATTTTAAAAAAAGAATAATTATAAATATTTTTAGGTTTCATAATGACAATACCATTACAAATATTTACAAATAAATGATACAATATCTGAGGTTTGCTTTAACATAATCCAGTCATTATGAGAGGGAGTGTAGGGGGGGTGTAGACAACAATTTGACCATATTTGGTAACTGCTGGAGGGTATATGACAGTTCTTTTTATTATTCTCCCTACTCTTAATATGTTTGAAAAGTTCCATAGTAAACAATTTTTTTGAAAATATTTTTTACTTTTAAATTCAATAGGTCATTTTTGAAAGAAGACAAGTTGGAGAAAAAAATAACTCCTATAGCTCAAAATGGCTATATATCCTAGAAAAATAAGCTATAATGAATTTTAAATTCTGAAATTCCTACTACTGAAATTGCTTTCAGATCCATTTTTTGAAAGCTATTAGAATATTCGCCTGTTTCTTTTCTTTCTTTTTCTTCTTCTTTTTTTTTAAATGACTTACAGATATGTCAACTACAATTGAAAAGGAATAGGAATTATTATGATGTAGACTCAGGTGAAGGACTTTAGAGAAACATTAAATATAAATGTTTGATTCATAAAAAGAAACACACACACACACACACACACACACACACAACATACGATTTGAGCAATTACCTGGATCTGTAGCAGACATCAGTGAACCAAAAAACAAACAGTCGGTGAAATGGAAGTCTCCATTTTTCAACTGGCCAGCATATACCATAGCTTTCACAAAGCCATACATAATTAACCTGTTGAAGAGAAAAATAAGATCTTCAAACATCAAGCTGAATCCTGTGCAAACCCACGCTATCATTGCTAACCTTCTAATGTGCTTCCTGAATGAACATCATTCACAAATTACTACCATTCTGCCAATTCATGGTCATGCTAGCTCTCAGTACATTGCTGAGATTTCTTGACTATGAAAGACACTTTTACCAAATATACCCACTCATTCACCTGGCAAAAGGTAACAATATTTTCTAGTATATTTCAATGAAAATAAATAAATCTCAAGAATATAAAAAATAATCTGTCAAATATGTCATAGCAAATTATGCCCACAAATACAGCAGCTGGATTAACATCTGTACATGGATTGCTTTTCAGTTTTCATTGTTTTATGTGGTAGGGGTGTCTGAAAAGTGTTCAAATTTCAAGTCTGTCACTGGAATGAGAAGGATATTGGTCACACACAGCACACTCAGTCCAGCCAGTTACTCTATAATATATGGGTCTCTACTAGTGCTAGTGTCAGGACACTTTCACACTGGGTAGAAAATCAGTTAGGTTAGAGCTCTTGTAACTTCAATACACTGCTGAAAAATGAATCCTGAAAGGTTTATGTTTTGATCTTCCAAGGATAGCCATTCTTTTCATGAGATTATAAAAGGTTTATAAGTTTACCAAACCCATACCATGGAACAGAGATCGTCTATATTGGTCATCATTTGCCACCCCATAATTTTTAAATTGTATTTAATTACTTAACTGACTGATTTTTGCCAACATCATACTAGAGGAAATACAGAGATTGGTGAACTGGGCCACAGTAAAATCACAGTAAGTGACTCTGAGAGTCCTTAGAAACTATATACCCTTACACTAATAGATGGATGTTTAAATATTCACATGCATTGAAAGTTAATTTCTTGAAAAATGTTCTAAGGTTGTGAGCATGGCTAAAAAGCCTAGAAATCAGATATCAGAAATTATAATGTTAATGAGAATGCAGATGTTTCAAAATATTTTAAGAAAAAATTCTTCATTAGAAAATATTTCAGACACATCTGCATTTGGATCCAGGTTCAACCACTCACTAGCTGTATGGTTTTAGGACATTAATAAAACCTTCTGAGCCTTAATATCCTTATTAATGAATTTGTGGTAACAATAATAGTTGGCCCATAGAATTGTTTTAAGAATTACCTGAGATAATATACATTTGGTTTCTGGCACAGAGCAAATTCCCAATGAGGTTATTATTACTGCCAATAATATTTATCAAAATATATAATATTTACTTACTATTTCTATTTTTTCACATGCTTTAACTCATTTAATCCACACATTAGTCCTATAAGGAAGGCACATACTATTTGCATTTTACAGATAAGAAAACTGAACACAGTATCATCAGGTAACTTGCTCAAAGTGACACAGGAATTAAGTTTTGCAACCTAGAAGCGAACTGTGTGGAATTGGCTCCTGAGTCTATATTAATATTGGTTAAATGAACAGATATATATTTTACTTTATATATTATCCCATATAATATATTCACAATTACCCTATTAGGTGGTTGTTCTAGGTTGTATGAAGGCACAACAATGGAATATCCCTAAGAACTTGAAAATAAGTTGAACTAGTAAGACAACTCATAATGGGTTTGAACAGAGAGGGCCAATATTACTGTGAAGAGTGTGGACTGCAGTAGGGAAGGCTGAAGGCATTAACATATCTGAGACAGGCTATGTCATGGGACATAGCAATGGTTGCTGGGAAGAAGCAAATCCAACAGGTCTCAATCATGGCAGCTTACTCACACTTATGCTGGGAAGGGTATTCTGCCAGTTACTAGGGCATGCAGTCTCTTAACATATAGGGTAGCTTCATTCAGTTTGTTCGTTTAATAGACATTTATTATTTAACCCCTACTATGTGTCAGGTTTCATGCTAGGTGCTTAAGATACATCAGTGAATGAAACAAACGTCCCTGCCCTTATGAAGCATACATTTTAGCAGGATAGACAGTAATAAAAAAATAATAATAAATTCAAATTATATTTGTTAATTATATCACTCTCTGAATTGGAATCTACAAGTGTGATCAACCTGGGACATTCTGGACAGTTACAACATTCATGGGAATGCTCTTCAGTAGTCATCCCTTCAACCTCTTCTGGTGTTCACCTAACTTCACCACCCTTTCTCATTGGAGCTATACTTCAAATATTGAGCATCAAAAAGCTCTAGAATACTGTAAACTTCATGACCTGTGACTATATTTCTAAATCCTGTGCCCATTAGTTAATTTTACAGGTTGGAAATCTAGGTTTAGAATTAAAATAACTTGTCTCATATTGCATAGAAGCCATTAGATTAGGTAAAATAAAAAATATATGCTACACAGACTTGGCAATATTACATAGAAACTAGAAGCCTCATATATATGATTGAAATGAATAAAAGTCTTAACTAAAGTATTAATTTTTTATATTCTATAGCTTATTAAATTGTTTCCTACAGATTTATGCCCAAATTAATCAAATATATACCAAAGGTGTATATTCAGATTATTTCAGATTTCTGTTATTTGTAAGAGTAAAAACTTCAAAGCATCCTAACTGTCCAGTCACTAAATTACAAAACACATATATTTGAGTTAACATGCGAATGATAATACTATGTACAAGACTAAATATTGACATAGAAAAGCAAATTGATAAAGTAAATTATAAAGTGGTAATAAATAATTTCTAATTTTATAAAAATTGAACATACTTAGGCATACATATAAACAAAAAAAGACCAGAATTATATAGACTAGAATGTTAATAGTAGTTATATAATGGAATTAAATGTGACTACTTTTCTTTTTGCTTTTCTGTATTCTTCCAGTTCTTTTAAAAAATAGTAATAATAAAAATAAATAGCAACAGGGGCGTTTGGGTGGCTCAGTCGGTTAGGTGTCCGACTTCGGCTCAGGTCATGATCTCTCGGTCCGTGAGTTTGAGCCCCGCGTCGGGCTCTGTGCTGACAGCTCAGAGCCTGGAGCCTGTTTCAGATTCTGTGTCTCCCTATCTCTCTGACCCTCCCCCATTCATGCTCTGTCTCTCTCTGTCTCAAAAATAAATAAACGTTAAAAAAAATAAAAAAAATAGCAACATACATTAGTGAGTGCTATTATATAACATAATAGACATTAATCTGTCATTTAATCCTCAAAATTTTATGAATTAGGTGCTGTGGTTATTCTTTTTTACAAATGAGAAAATTAGGTCAGAGAAGTTAAAAAGCTTGCCTAAGTTCACAGAAGTTAGCTCTCGAGAGACCTGGATTTGAACCCAGGCAGTTGGATGCCAAAGCCTACATCCTTAGCTACCGTCTTTATAAAGCTTTTGAATTGCTTTGAAATCAGGAGAGACACACATAACTGTTCACACACCCACCCTCCCCACCTCCACCACCCTTACACACATGATTCGTTTATTTACTCCAAATCAATTCTGGGACATAAAGTAACTATAATTCTAATAGCTTACTTGAGATAACACCAAAAAAGGAGAGAAATAAAGTCCAGTTCAGTACAAGCTCGATACTAATAACAATGGTCATCATCGCTGGTAATTATAACAATCCAATAACTAGTGTGCATATACTATTGCCACACCCTCCTTTATAAATGGGAGCTATTGTCATTGTTGCTACATTATTATTAATAAAAACTAGTTACAACTATATTAATTGGGAAGCTAAAAAAAAATGAAACCATTAGCAACCACCATGTTCTCACAGGATGGTGTATTCTATCAGCACTTCACAGGAAGTATTTCAGATGGCTCAGGATACAGGAGAGATGTGGTTTGATGGGAAGAGAGAATCTGTTAAAGTCCAATGCATACAGTGCTGTGAAGATGGGAGACCTGAGTAAGATGTTCCCCAGGGGTCAATCTGTGGTTAGTGACAGCCTGGGTTACAGGGATGGGCAGAAGCAGAAGTGCCTCATGAAAACCAGAAATGTTGATAATTTGATTTTAACAAATAATCCACTTAGCGCTACTATTCTTTGAAATGCAAAGTGCTTGTGCTATGAAGGATACAATGGTAGAAGTCCATAATCTGCTCTCAAAGAGTAGAGTATTACAGGATGGCAGCCATGTCACTGATACTCATAGAAAGCATTGGGCAAAAGAAAATTTGGAGAAATGCCCAGAATAATACCCCACACACTCACTTTATTATTTATGATGTGTGTATTGGTTTAACATTTCATAAGCCTATTTTATACTATTAAATTTCCACACCTATAGATGTGTGAAAATGTTTCAGAACAAAAAGTTCCAGAAGGCTCAAGTGCTGTGATGACTTTTAAGTATGCCATCTTTATCTCTCCCAGTATTTTAAAGAAAGAATATATCTTCTTCTTTTTACAAAAAAAAAAAAAAAAAAAAAAGTATTGATCAAGCAACGAATAGATCAACTGGAAAAGGCAGTTTTTTGAACTGCTAGAGATAAACTGGGAGAGTTGTCAGTTTGGAGATGCAGCTGTGTGGACCACTCTCATTAGGTGCTGGAAGAGTCACATCCCTGCTGGTGAAAGCGTGTGAAACAGGCCACTGCATGAAGCTCACTCTGGCAGTGGGAAAACCCAGAACCAACAGCTATGGAAGCTATATGAAGGTTACAATCTACCATCTACATTTCTGATTTCTATACCCACACACTTTCCTTTAGATAAGCATCTTTCCCTAGCTATCTGTTCACATTTGATGGATGCTTTGTATGTCACATTTTCTTTTTTTTCCAGAGTATGCATTCAAAAGCAATATCCCATTGGAGAACTCATAATTTCTTTTTTTGGAGGGGGGGCTTTATTGAAATATAGTTAAGATATAAGAATGTATAAGCTTAAGGTATACAATGTCATGATTCAATGTAGGTATATATTGCAAAATGATTAGCCAATAAAGTTAGATAACATATCCATCACCTCACAAGTATATTATTTGTGTGTGGTGATAAATTT